AGTTACTTATATTGAAGTGATGAGAAAATCGAGAAAAATATGGAAATGATGAAATTGGGGTCCCGTATGCTGCTTTCTTATTCTCAGATAATAAATAAATACCAAACTGCAGCTTACGATCTTTATTTACATAAAATAACGAGAACATCAAAACACATTAGTTTTTACACCGGGTGCACATGACTGAATAAAACTACTCTATTGAGCCCGTAAAAACATGTCCTGAAAAGATGACAATTTTGATCACATCAAGTTCATGTATCAGGAATAATGATAAATTATGATAATGATATATGATTCACAAGTAATATTTCACCCTCCTACGAAGAAGAAGGGGCAAAAACTTACAGGACAAAGAAACTCTGAACCCAAGTCGGCGCGCAGAACTTTCGAAACTCGTTGAATTGACGTCTACAAAATGGGCCCATGACTGGTAGGACAAGAATACTCAAAAATAAAGAGTATCAAAATTAGGAGAGGATCCATATTTAATTTTCGAATGCCTCATAGATTCCAATGGACAATGTTAGGAATCCTAAAAAAAAATTCCGTGTTCTAGCAGATTTACAATAATTACTTATTGATTCGCAGGTAAGGCCGATTCATAAAATATCGTGTTCCATGATTTTGTTTTCTTTAACCTAATAAATGCGATTATGAAAGGACCATCTTGTATTTGTCTTATTAAGGTCAAATCTCTTCTTCTTCAAACGTGCCTTTTTTTTAAAACAAAACACCAAGAATTACCTAACACGATGGCAAAATGTAAAAAGTTTGGTTTTCCCAACTCACTTAATATACGGTTAAAATAAGTAATCACTGTACAAATCACAAAAGTGGGTTATCAAACCACGATAGAGGTAAAATCAAAGATAAAGCTTTACAAGAGGACAAAGGAAAACAAATTGTAATCATATGGCATCGTGAGGACTTACTTATGTACACAATACATAGTTTCACTTAAAGTAACTAGATAAACTTACAGTATTTACACATTAACGAGTAATTTTAATTTGCAGCACATGTTTCGTATGATTCTCCGAATTTATTATTTTTTGAAAAATATCCTGGTTCAAAGTTACTCTCTAGATTTAATTGTTTTGGACTTGGCGCTGGCGATTTAGAAAGACGAGTAATACAACGAAAGTAATGCAGACCTCCAAAATACAGAGCTCGGATAAATTTTGTATTGGAGGTTGTCGTACACATTTTGGGAATTTTTGCTCGGTTTTTCGTTACAATGAGAAATAAGAGCCACCGCTTCCTCACGTTTGACGCAATGTCAACATTGGATACTCAAATCATTACGAAATAGAGTGATTAGTAAAGAAAAATCGAGGCACAATATGGAGTGCCATGCCATAAAACGACGCAAAAACTTAGCGGAAAATCGGACACTTAAATATTTCTCTTGGTTTTACTCGAATATTGGATTTACTGGTATCTATGTGGAGTAAAATTTTCCGTACACTCTGACTTTTATGGAATAATTTCAAAATTTTGAAGGGAACCTCAACTTTTAAAGCCACACTCCCGTTTTACATTCCGAGGGAGGCTGAAGGGCCTTGGGACGATGATACTTGGATCCCTTGTTGTCGGCTCCCTATCCTTTTCTGCAAAATCCGACTTGATCTGACCTGAGCAGTGGCGTGGCGTGAAATCGATTATCGATATCTTGCCATTTGAAGCTATGCTGAAGAATCGATTACTAAGGTGTTCGCTGCGAACACCCCGATAATCGATCTTTTTTCATAGGTTTGAGTGGCGTATCAATCGATATATCGAAAAGCACGCCATGCCACTGCCTGAGATAACTGAGGAAAAAACCTGCCACGGATGATCTAGCAGACCCTGTAGTTGTACCTATCGATTTCACGATCAAAATTTTGAAAAATCAAGAACTATCCGTCAAGTACATGCAAAACGTTATAAATCTTCAAAATGTGACCAATGGATGCCTAGGTATACAATATTTCTGATTTGATTATTGATCTTCAAGAAATATGCAGCTACTGATTCAGCTGGTTATGAGGAGACTCTTAGTGCTTCACAATGATCATTGGGCACTTACGATTTGAGGTCAACATCGGATGCAAAATTAAATATAAGGGAAAAATCGAGAGCAAATAAGCAACTTAGAGTGGGAGCTTGTACTAGCCTAGGTAATAAATTTGTGCGATCTTTATCGCACATTTCATGACATGGGTACCTAATTTGAAAATGATACTTAAATAGTTTACATGGCACGATGATTTTACAAGACAGATTTTTCTCTGAAACACCATCGCTATATCCATGAACCACACTTGACTTGTTACAAAACAAAAAGAGTGGAAGGCCACAACAACATCTCAGAGTTACGGGATAAAGCTTAGCCTTATTTTTTTCACAGAAAAACTCCTCTTTGTAATCTGTGAAATGCGTCACAAAAATCCCTGAGCTAATTAGTCATTTTTTTCTCAGCCAGAATTACCTTTTTAGGATTTTCGCGGGCAATGGTGGCGTTGCTCTGGAAAAATAAACTTTCAGGTGATAATAACATTGGCAACTATGTATCGATATTTGAAATGTAACCAGAGCAGCTTTTTTACACGGTCAAGCTCCCTATGAGAAGTGCTCCCGACTTGGCAAGTTAAGTAACAACTTTCACCAGGTCTCTACTCTTAACAGCACTGCAGAGCGACAATCGGTTTTACGTCCATGGTTGCCAAACATGGGAATATTCTTTGTCTTTTTCCTTACGTGAATCTCCTAATTAAGAGGGCGGTGAACCCTGAAATTGCATTTTCTCAGCAAAAAGGTGAACGTTTCAGGGCAATCTCGTTTAATTTTTGGAACGTTTTTCAAGTCTAAAATGAACATATTTATGGCAAAAGGAACGATGTGCTGCGTGGAACGTGGTTCCTTCTAGCATAAATACGCCAAAGTATCCAACGAGGGCACATCGGACGAAGCAATTATAAGAATACTTCATTCATCCGACGTATACTGGTATTGCCTATTTCAGGAGCGTAAAGTAAAATGGTCGTAACCATCAGTTTTTGAAAAATTCAGTTACTTACATTGTCAATATGCTTAGAAGAAGCTCCATATTTTTAAAAAGGCAGTGACACCCATGACCACATTCGGAATGCAAAACTTCAAAAAATTCGATTTAGGTACATGGACTACCGGGAAGTGCTCTCGTCAAATCTCGAGACGGGGAAATGTACTTACGAGCCATTTTCTGTAAGCTACTCGTTTGAGGAGCATAAAGTCCCAAAAAATGGATGATCGCATCGAGGCATTCATTTTTTGATTGGCGTATTTTCAAATGGAAAACCAAAGAAAAATGTTTCTAGGGCTTGCAAAGGCATTGGGATGGATGTTTAAGAAACCGTATCAGAAAAGTATGATATGAAACTATTGATAAATCTATACACGGACAGTTATATTTATTTATTTGTAATTACCGGACTTTTTTCAGTATTGCTATTATTCAAACATTTTTTGTTTTTAAAAACATATCGAGTTATCTATTTTAGTGCAACCTCCAGGGTAAATTTAATCTCTATCTCTGAATTTAATTTGTCCATAAAATACGGGTGCATCAAATATCGTGATATTGTAGTTCATTGCTCTTCATGAACGAAAGTTATCTTTGAAAAGCTAGTCCCCGAGTATAGCGCTCCCTCTCATGTAAACTACTCACTTTAAATAGTATACAGACCCGTGGCGAATAAGTTTATTGGGTGTCTCAATTGATCATCAAGCAAACCTCATTCCTATTGGTTTTTATCACCATAATCGAAAGTCCTAAGTTTATCTTTGCCTTTCATTACAAGCAAGTCTATCTCATATTTCTCAGCCCATTCGATGATGCAGAGAAAATAATGAAATCTTTAATGAATAATAATATGACTGTGGTTTTTTGTTTTAGTTACAGTTGCTCCGATGACTTGTTTTAATAAATTATTTTAATTTCGATAAAAAGATCGAAAATGACTAAAATTAAGACAAAAATCGTGTTAATATGAACATAGATTTGCCGAATGTTCGTTTCATGCTTCAATATTATTTTTACTGCGAAAATAAACCCCTCGTGTTAAGATCAAGGGAAAAATGAATGAATATCATTGCATTCTATTTGATTTTTTTTTTACACGGCTCCTCGGAATGGCAACTTTGCTTTAGCTGAAGCTTAAGTGATCCTCACGTTAATGAATGCATAACATATACTACAGTTAATTCCAAAAACTATTTTAGTGTAGGTCAAGTTTAGTACACTAGGTGATGCCAGAAATCTAACAGAATGTACTCGTACATTCAGCGTCATAATATCATACATAGTTTTCAAATTTGGTATAAGAAGAAAACCATACAGAGGAATACAGGTTCGGCCTAATCAATTGAACACCATATTAGCCGTGCTGTTCGGTTCATGTAACCGTGCCTCTTGGTTCATGTTACTGAATTTCGGTTTATGCAACTGTTGTACCTCTCGTTTCATGCTATCATAATTCGGTTCGTGTGATCGAATTTCAAACAAGCCAAAGTGAATTGTAAAGTAGTTCTGTAAAATGAACCGGACTGTGAAAAGAGGTCGGTGGCGTGACCCGAGGAACCGCATTACCATACCGTTACATGAACCAAATAGTATGGCCAATATTGACGTGCTAAGGAAAAACACTGTAAACATTTGAATGCTGCCAAGTTTTCCTCGACGAAATGTGTATTTTTAGGATAGTTTTGAATATTTTTCCCTAAATTTTTCAGACGCTTTACATCAAATTGTGAAGGAAATTCGTAGAAAAATTGGAAGAAAAACCTACACATCTTTCGAGGAAAAGCCGCACTACATTGAAAAAAAAACTCCAGCCGTGAAAGCCGTATTAACAGGCTGTATAGACATACCGCCCGCGTTCCGGGCGTGGCACCCGGAGCAATCGAAGGTACAGCTCCAGCACCCGGAACTTTCGGCCTCTGAGCCCGGAACGGACGATATGTCTACATAGCCCGTGGCTTTTTTTTCAGTGTATATCGCAAGAAATTTGGCAACGTCTGAAGGTTCAAACGGAGTTTTTCCTTAGCATGGCAGCATACGACAGTGCACAGAACGGTTAAAGTTTGAATATAAGATTCTTAATTTCATCGATCATGAGAGTGTGCATCACCATAGAACAAACTGAGGTCAAAAATCTAAATTGGTAGAATTCACGCGATCCTAAAGCGTGTTTTTACGTGGTTTGGAAGGGATGATGACTATTTTTTGCCGAAGTGAAGGAGGGTGTTGTTGGCGAAGGCTGGCGAGTAGCCGGAGTAAGGGATGCTGCGGTAGGGGTTCGGGTGTTGGGGCACGACTCTCATGAGACGGATGTTGACCTCGCGACTGTTGAGCGATTGCCTCATGAATTTTTGGAGTCTGGTCGAGATCATCCACAGGGCTCCGCCGTCCCTGTCTGCTGCTCGAATGTCCAGCACGAATTGCAGCGCCTCCGCATCGTAAGCCACCACTCTGGAAAAATTAGAATATTATCAATGCACTTGTGCAAGAGAGCTCAAAAAGTATTCTAGGGCTTCTAGAATGTAAGAAAAAGTCGCTTCAATATTACTGGAAGACAACGTTCAAGGAATATCCAACGAGGTATAGGTAGAGTGCCTATATTGAGAGAGTATGGCCACTGGTGTTACCACCTCTGATTGGCTCAGCCATCTTAGGCTGAATGGAGCCCTTAGGACCCAGAAATGGCGGACGCTATAAATTAATGTGATGCAATATGACTCAAAATGTAGTTTTCTTTGCTTATCGTAACGAGAAATTTGCCCAAATGCACTATTGCGACTTCTTTACATATTTTTAAGGCTAATCGTGTGCAATTTTTGAGAAAAATTATCTTAGATGTAGTAAGGTTGGCAGCAAGTGCGGTTGGTGAAAACCGTCAAAAGTTGGCAATGACCCCCCTCCCATCCACAAAAACCAAAACAAAGCACCGCCATTTTTGGGTCCTAAGCCTCTCCATGTGGCCCAGTGGCCATACTCTCTCAATATAGGTACTCTAGGTATAGGGGTCCCCGACGACCCATGGTTTCAACCACCGCTGTGAATCTAATGTTTCATGGCCGCTGTACGACCGGAATATACATGTACAAACAGTCGTAGGTGAAAGGATCATGGCGGTCAATGATCCTCGGGACGTCACAAAATCTGTTGGCACGATATTTTTCTGTTTGAAATGAAGTTGAGCTTTCGGCAACTTTGGAAGTCGTTTTCCCGCCTAGAAGATTAAATGAAAAAAGGTAAAATCCGGATTTCCTCATTTTTTATGTGCTGTACGAAAACGAATTTTTAAAAAATGTGCAACAGCTCCATTATCAGATTAGAGTATGACAAAATGACCAAATCTGCTAACATGTGTTTTAAATGGGAAATGCAGATGTCACCTGATGACGTCAGAAGGAGGTAAATCTTTTCATTATTTGATCTATTTTACTGCAATTTTCCGTGAATAAAAAAAAATAAAACAATGTTTTTTTTTAAAAAAAACCCGCTAGGGCAGCTCCTTCAGCAATCTTAGACGAAAGAATCAAATTTTTTCGAGCAAATTCTCTATTGGTATTAATCTAAGCAACTTTTTGCGGACTCGAAACATTTTTTTGTTTTTGTCGAGCGTTCACCACGTTAGTGGTACTACTGTAAACTTGAATTACAATGCATTGTTGGTGATCATAAGAGAATTTGTGAATTTGAAGTGTAATATTTTCTTTTCCCCGTCGCCAATCGCTGACGGGACGGTGTTTGACGCACAAAATTAAGTATTCCCACAGTCTTATCAGCGCAAACATTCATTTTGTAATAAAAAAAAAACGAATAAATTGACGAGGTGATACGGTGAACGCTCTCCAACGTCTTAACGTCGGAACCGTCGTCTTGTTTTCAGATTACCTGTGGTCGCTTTTTTTTTTTTTTTTTCATCCTTTATTAAGTAATGATACATGTTATTAACAAGTTTAATATGGACTAATAAACATTAACTTTAAAATTATATTGATTTACTTAACAAAGACCCCGGAACCGCCTGGTTGTATCACATCGGGGGGGGGTTGGCTGTTAAAGGGGTAGAATTATTAATCTTATTGCTAGAAGTCTTAAAAAATGATATCTTATCTTCTACTGTTTCTTTCATGTATCTATAGCCTAAGTTCCATTTTTCCCTACTCTCTAACATTAACTTTAATAAATTGTGTGCATTAATAACCTGTGGTCGCTGGAGCCAGGGACCCAGGCAGCGAGCGCAGTCTCGGCTACAGGGCTGAAGACGAGGGATCCTTCGAGGGGATCGAAGGCCAGAGGGGCGGCCTGCGAGGACTTGTGTCCGACCAGAGTGACCGGCAGGTCCGAGTCGTCGCCCGTGTTGGGTCCGGCCTGGAGGGCCGCCGTCGGTATCGAGTAGATCTTGTCCGAGGCGAAAGCCTGGAAGTACAGCAACTTCTGGTAGCTCCCTGGCGGAGAGATGGCCATACCAATGATACCGTCCATCAGAGTGAAGGACTCGCCTTGCAACTGGACAGAGAAGGAATACCAAGTTAAGCGTTAAACGATGAACAGCGGGGCGATTATTGAAATTGATGAACAAAGCGATAGACAAAGAAGACGTAGGGAGTATGGAGCGATCTTATTGGTTACATGGCTGGTTCTTATAGACTAAGGAAAAAAATGATGGACTAACTGTCGGGTCTTTAGTGAGTTGCCGTTAGTTAGTCCGTTACCTACCTCCTATGTCCATTGCCACTACCTGCTTCCACCAATAGGATCCCTCCAAATCCCTTTTGTCGTCTTTGTTTATAGCTTTGTCTATCAATTTCAATAATCGGCCCGCAGCTTGAAACGTCCTGCCTCTTAGTGTTTCTAATATTTTATCCTTGTTTACCCATGTTTTAATTCTCTCCGTATTCAAGCGATAAATGTTCTCCATGTAGTGTACGTAAAGTCCGTAAGAAGATACTATCAGTGGTAAAATAAGTTAAGTTTAACCCTTTGCTTCCTATGGACAAGAATTCTCGTCCTCGCATGACTATACACTGGAAAAAAAGGAGCTTGAAACAAATCAAAAGCAGCTTGAAGCAAGCTGGAAAAAATCTTAAATTTGACGCCAAGAAACGTATAGCTTGAAATAAGCATGACCGTGCTGCTTGAAATTAGCTACCCGGCGGAATCGTAATTATTTTTCGTTTAATGCTCGGATCCAATACTAAATACTGAAAGTTTTATTCATTTTTCATAAAATTCCGTAACGTAGGGATAAAACGTTACTGATTCTTCGACATGGATCATGTTAAAGTCGTCGTGCGCTGCCGCGGGTTTTGTTCTCAGTTTGCAGCACTGTTAAAATGCGCGGCTTTTGGAGATCTCCTGGAATGACTTGAGAATGTAGGAATGTATAACTTAATGCCCGTGTCGAAAATGAAGGCGGAGTGGTTACAATCCAATAGAAACTTAATTCAAGAAGTTGGCTGCAAACTTAATTTAAGTCTAATTTTTTCAGCTATTTCCAAGATTCGTGTCATGCTTGAAACCAGGAATCTTGAATCGAGTATACATTATCTTGAATCAAGAAACAACTTCTTAGAATTAGCAGTCATGGTGGCTTGATGTTAGACTCAGCAGGTTTGACTCAAGATTTTTGTGCTGCTTAAATCAAGCTAGCAGGTGATCCAAGCTATACGGTAGCTGCAATTAAGAATCTCGAATCTTGAATTTAGCAATAAATTGCTTGTTTTAAGATAAAAATTCTTGAATCAAGCTGATTTTTTCTCAAGATTCCGAGACGGCTTGACCGTAGCAGACTTTTTTTTCCAGTGTTTCCCATTACTTCTAATGGAGAAATATCGATGATCGCTCATTCAGGCCTCGCTCCTTGAAGTTGAGAAATGCACACCGGTGATTCTTTGGAGACTTCAACGAACGGTGAAAAAAGTAAGAAAACTTTAACGAGCTATTGACAGCAGCGCAAAGGTAATGAGCGCGATGAGATGCATTTAGTTCGTGGATAATTTTATGAAAGCTCCAGGGAAATACAGCACAGGCTTCTGATAAATGATCAGTTCTGGGTGAGGTTTTCTGCCGGGGTGAAAACGATTTGGTTTAACACGATGCTTTATCGGTCACATGGCGCGGCGTGTTTACCGTGATTAGCTCCTTCGTGTCCCGATCCTTGATTGTTCGATGATTAGTTGGACCTCATTTTGCAATCAGGAACTACCATCTCTGGCTCATATGTAAAAACGTTTATGTACCCGCGGAAACTAATGGTGCATACGTTGTTTCTAAACTGATTCAGAAATTTTAGTTCCGAGTTGCAAAATGTAGTCCAGTTCGACTATTATGCTTCGTGAATCTCATCTTCAGGTCTTTAAAACAAAGTCGTTGGGTCTTCAGGGGCTTGATCAAAGACATAAAGACGGAGTGCTCGTATCTAAAAGCACGGGGAGAAAGTGAACTCTGGTTTGGCGTTGGGTGCTTGCGTGAGTGTGTAAATGAGCGCGGGTATCCATGGCGGCAAACGGAAATTTGATTTGAACTTGTCCTTTTGATTTTACCACATTTCTTCTTCGAAACGTATTTTAAATGCCTAAAACGAATACATTAAGAAAGTTTGGACTGCGTCCTACTATAATACACTTACTTTTGCTCGGTAACAGGCAGTAATCTCAGATAAAGTTAGCTTTTCTTCTGCTCATGGTGGTCCTGCCATGCCGGTTTAAACAGGCCGTTACAGTTAGAGTACCTTTATAGACCTTTATGTCTTATGAAGTCTAGTGTGTGTCTTTATGAAGTTCTAGTTACAGTCCTAGATGACCGTTACTCCCAAATGAAATTAATCGGTCGACGACGGACCAAAACTACCCTAAAGTTATACAAATATGAGTGTGAAAGTGAATTTGGGCAAAAATCAACCTAAAATACTTTGTTTCCGCAATTTTATTCAGTTCCTGCCCTACATTTGAATTTCAAACTTGTCCCGATTTCGCCGCCAATCTTCTAGCCAATAGTAGAGGTGATTGAAAAGAAGCTTCATTTTTTGCTTTTAGCGCTCCGTCTTTATGTCTTTGGGCTTGATCCGATCGTACATTGTCTTACCGCATATTCTGGATAAGTCATCAGCCTTCAAGGCGGGGGGGGGGGCGGCTCCAAGGGAGCCCCGGCATTGGGCATGAATTGGGCTGTTTGGTCACTACTCACCGTAAATTTGCCGAACTCCGGTTCGGGGAACATGTTGGGGTGACTGAGCCTCCAGGCAGCGTCTCTCCTGGCATCGTAGACGACGATTCCAGGTGCCACTGTGTCCGAGAGGTAAACGAAGGCGTGATCGCACGAATCGTGGGTCGTCTCGTCGCCCAAGTGATCGATCACCATGTTCGACAGAAGTGAGTGTCGCCGCAATACCTCCTGAGGGAGCGTGATGCTCCTCACCTGGAAAATGACCAGTCGCATGTAAAACATAGGTGGATCCAAGGAGGGGAGACGTACGGTACGCTCTCCCCCGTTTGCCTTAAAGAAGGGAGAATAAAAAGGAAAGAAAAAAAGAGGGAAGGAAGGAACGGAGGAAGGAAGGAAGGAAGGATAGAAGAAGGAAGGATGCTCAGATTTGGTAATTACTCATGACGACATCTAACTCAACCTGCATATTAGATGCTTTAAAATTTCGAAAATTTTCTGCACTGAAAAAAAATTCCCGGCGTTTTTACCAAGGTCCGTTGGTACCTTTATCATCTCACTTTTTCTTACCAATTATTGGTAATTTTACCAAAACAGACTGGTAAGCTTACCTAAAAACCGGTATTTTTACTGGTTTTTTTTCAGGTAAAAATACCACTTTTATTGGTAATCAATTCCAAGTAACTTTGCCATTTTATCTCGGTAATTCTACCACAGTCGATAAAACATATTGGCGTTTTTACCGGGGTCCAGTAAAATTACCGAGAAAGTAAATTATTTTCCCGAGATTTCTCGGTAAAAATACCAATTCCATAAATGGTGATTTTACCAAGAAAAAACTGGGATCAAATAGAACCCTGAATTCTTGGTAATTTTACCCTTTTCTTAGTAAATACACCAAGATTTTTTTTTCAGTGTGGGGGAAGCTCTCCGGATCCCCCTTCCGTTTCCCCGTTTGAAGAGTCTGGATCCGCCTATGATAAAAAGTTCATGTCTAACGATATATTCAGATGCCCCGATCGTTGAATTACTTTGATACCGGAGTGGTTACGATACTTGCCGTTCCGAAAATGGGTATTCTTTACTGCCCCCCCCCTTCCTCCTCTCTCTCTCTCTCTTCCCCCTCCTCCCCGTGTTAGAACAGCAACATTTTATTTTATTATGTTTAACTAATTTAATGAAAGAAATTACATCAGTGCCCCAAAGTCAAAAGGTACTCAACTCCATTTAAGTGATTTCGAGATATCAGGGGATTACCGTGCGTCGGCCACATTGATTCCAATGTAAATCGCACTTCTCTAGACTTCGTATCTCATGATTGGCGTGATAAGACGTAAGATAGGGTGACCAAATTTTCCACACTCGTGGGACCACTATTGGAGATTTCCCAAACGCCAACAATGTGAGTTGTTTTTTCAACAATGTGAGTTTTAGGTATACTCTGACTCTGAGGCAGTGATGTAGAATTCCACAAAAACGATTTACATTATTTCAGCCTCTAAGTTTTAGACTAAGTGCCTAAGAGAAAAGAGCCATGCACAAAGTGGCCCATTTTTGGGCCCTCGAAATTGGGGTCGAAGTGAGGTTATTTTTCATCCTTAGGGTGACCCTTTACACATACTAAAATTTCAGATTGAGTATACGCACCGTTTTCGAGTTATGGGGGGGGGGCAAAGTCCCCGATTTTCACCCATTTTTGCAGGTGTTTTAATGTCGAACTCCGGCTGTTACGAGGTACCAGATCTAGATATTGAAGCGCGGTTTGCGGTGATTTGTTCAGCTATTCCTGTAGTATTTTTCCACATCTTTCACAAAGTCCCAAACGGTTTTTCGGGGGGCGGGGAGGGGGGCTTTATTCATACTATCATGACCGTAAGCGCATCTTACTGACTTTACTTTGTTCTCTTCTCTCCACGCCGCGGTGACGATGGTATTTTCTGTTGGGGATTGTTCTTCTTCTTCACATTTTACCAATTTTCATGTCCTCCCCCTCTTTTCCCCTTTTCACCCCCTCCCCCGCAATCCAAACACTTCCTCTTGAGTGCTTCTTCCTGTAAGGCAGATATGACGGGGTCATATGTGGGGATTATTTTTCTTTCTTTACGATTGATGAACTTTGACCCAACTTACTTCTCCCTTACAGGGAGCTCCTTACCCCTGTATTATCCCCCTCCCTGCCCGCTCCACTTTACTTGAAGTATTTTGCTCCCTCCGCAGCAGAAATGACGATGTTTCTGGCAAATAATCTTTTACTTATGTTTAGGTACTGAAATACTAAATACATGGGAGCCACCCTCCTACTCTTCTCCATTCTTCTCCCTCTTCTTCCTCTTTCCCTTCCCCTCTTGTTTGTTCCTCTTTTGCCTCGTTCTCTTTACTTTTCACTTTTATTCTACTTTTTACTACTTTTTTGTGGGAGTAATATGGTAACGCGAAGAGAAAGTGGAAGAGAATGTACCTAGGAAAGAATAAATCAAACATAGAAGTGGAAAGAGAAACGTGACAAATATTAATAAGAAACAATTCTTCACAGGAAACATCGTCATTTCTGCTGCGGAGGGAGCAAAATACTTCAAGTAAAGTGGAGCGGGCAGGGAGGGGGATAATACAGGGGTAAGGAGCTCCCTGTAAGGGAGAAGTAAGTTGGGTCAAAGTTCATCAATCGTAAAGAAAGAAAAATAATCCCCACATATGACCCCGTCATATCTGCCTTACAGGAAGAAGCACTCAAGAGGAAGTGTTTGGATTGCGGGGGAGGGGGTGAAAAGGGGAAAAGAGGGGGAGGACATGAAAATTGGTAAAATGTGAAGAAGAAGAACAATCCCCAACAGAAAATACCATCGTCACCGCGGCGTGGAGAGAAGAGAACAAAGTAAAGTCAGTAAGATGCGCTTACGGTCATGATAGTATGAATAAAGCCCCCCTCCCCGCCCCCCGAAAAACCGTTTGGGACTTTGTGAAAGATGTGGAAAAATACTACAGGAATAGCTGAACAAATCACCGCAAACCGCGCTTCAATATCTAGATCTGGTACCTCGTAACAGCCGGAGTTCGACATTAAAACACCTGCAAAAATGGGTGAAAATCGGGGACTTTGCCCCCCC